TTTTTTATCAGAAACACAGTTCACTATGAGCTATAAGATGCACAAAACGCCGATAAAAAGCGATCGCACACCTGGGAATGTTCCCTTATTAATATAATCAACTGCTGAACTTATTTTATTTATTGATTTTTAAATTTATTTACAAATCGAACGATTTTAATAATTGATAATTCAAACAATTTTCTGCTATTTCATTTAATTTACTAATCATCCATCGTTTTTACCGATTTTATACTTATCGTATATACTCATCCTTTCAATTATTTTACTCATCACAAATCATATTCCTTTATTTTTCTCTTCCGAGTCTTCAATTCAACAACAAGACTACTTCAATAAAGACAACAGTTCGAATCTTGTTACTTGCTCATAAGGAAAACTATTGTTGCAAAAGAGTATGCTTCTGTAATCCGTAGATAAAAGACATGGCTAAAAGTCTCACATTGTATATTATCGGGATGATGGTACATTTTTTTTATTTAGTTTAATTTTGTTGTACACATGTGTGTACATCAATATTTTCACAATCCACATGTTATTTTGCCTTTACAAGCATCCCCGGCTTTTCCATCACAGGCATAAACAACAATCGATGGTGTTATATAATACCAATCGTATCCACCACCGGTTGCAGTAATTTGGTATGAACAACAACCATAATCAGCAAATGATATGTTAATCTGTTGTGGTGTTTTCCAATTTGTTTTATCAAAAATAACTGGACTAAATTCAGCACATCGTGTACCATTGTAGAAATAATTTGGTTGTACCTTAAATTCAACTTTAACTTGATCACTGGGTGCATAAACTGGTGGAGTTTGTAACGTTAATTTAAAATGATCTTGACCATCAGGAGTAACCACAAATGTGCGAGAAGGGTCTACATTGAATCCTAAAAATGGTCGAAATGTTGCATTCTAAGTAGTGTTGTAAATTGTGATTTACCCGTATTTGCATTTCCACAATAGCCAGGCCACTTATCAGGTAAATCGAACAAATGTTCAGCTTCTGATGGAATACCATTTGTAAATGACAAATATACTGTAGTTAAAAGGCTATATACACATAAGTGATTATTTGTTATACTATCTCTAGATATATGATATAAAGCGATGGACATATTAGAAGGACTGTTACTGACGTTCAAGCATATATGAATTGAGAGGCAAGTGCATTTTGAAAACTGTAAGGATAGGATAAATCCTACGATATGTCCATCTCTGTGCACTTACTCATCATAATCATAGGCTCCTCGACCAACATGGGCTTCAATAGTTTTTACTGGTCTATTTGGTGCTTCAAAATAGCTTAAACAAGGCACTGGACCAATTCCAGATTTTCTTAAATCACATATTTCTGGTGAATCATATCTCTAAAATGACAAACTTTGCATTAATTACATACATGATGATATTAGTGAGTCAATTTAGAATTACTAACACGTACACAATATATATATTGATTTTTATCAGTTATATTTTCTTAAGGGGGGCTCCCTCAGAAAATTCAATTTTTCGGAGACGGGTCGAAATTGAAGTTTTATCAACGAAAGATGCAGCGAAGTCTTCTCTTTCAGAATATCTATGGTTTATCGCAAAATGAATTGATTTTGGCGAACCTTTCACCTAAAACTTAGTTTCTACTATCATATTTTTCGAGAAATTTTTGTGGTTTTTTTTCCAAGCTTTTTTGAATTTTTAGCCTCCTTTCCCTTCGCATCAGCATTTCATAAAGTTTTTTTTATACTAATCACTACGATACTATTAAAACTAAATATTAAGATCACATATTTATCGCCCGTCTTGAAGATTGATATATAAATCAGGTGATTTTCGGAAAAGTCGATTTCTAGTACTTATTTTTCGTTTTTCTCAAAATCAATTTTTTCGAGTTTACCGTTTACGCGGGCACGTCTTTCGGAATAGTGACTCAATAGAGAAGGGATTATTTTTTTTTTTGTTGCATAGATGACAGGTGGGGCTAGATCCTAATAGAGTCCGATTTTTGAATTTTTCTTCTGCTGAAATAAAAAAACTTGGATATTTCATGTTTATTAGCGCTTTGAATTTGAACATTTTTCGAAAACGTATTTTTAAAAATCGAATAAAGGGAAATTCAAAAATCGGACTCTATTAGGATCTAGCCCTAAGGGTACTCTACAATTTAAAAATCACCCCGACATGATTAGCCAGTAATCCCATTGTGAAATCCTTGCCCGCGTAAGGGGTACTGAATTGACTAGAACTCGTGCATTTCTTTGAGATTTGGGGGATATATTTTAACCATAATCTATTCTAGCTAAGACTAACATTTTCTGAAATTTTCATTGAAATCGGAAGCGAAAATAACAAAGTTCGTTTCTGAGGGGGCCCCCTTAATCAAACAAACTAACGGGTGACCCATAATAAATGGCCGCACTTTGCATTGCATATTTTAATTTCAAGATACGTATTATTAAAAAAACAAAACATACCACGAGATGCAACGTGAAAAGCTCTACAATTTACATAAGATCGCTTATTTTATAGTTGCATTTTTTATTTTCAAAATGGGCAAAATTTTGAGCGACTAAATTTCGACCATGTGAAAATTGGTCACACAGAATTTTTCTTTTATTGAAAGCAATTACACTAAGCTTTCCTGTTTAAATTGTAGAGCGTTCCACGCTGCATCTTGTGGTATACTTCGTTTTTTTTTATGAAGACATATTGGATGATAAAAAGATAAAAGGAATTCTCGTTCGTGTCGAAAAAAATGATTTTTTCGCAATGATGAAATTGATCGCAGAGAATTTTGCTTTTTTTTGAAAACAAAAAGTGCACAATTAAAATAAGGTTTATTTTGTAGATTTTAGAGCTTTTTAAGCTGCATCTTGTGGTATAGTATATTTTTTCTTAAGAAGGTATATTATGTGATTAATGGATCAAATAAGAGAAAAGAAATTTCGTATTAAAAAAAAATGATTTTTTCGCAACGACGAAAGTTGGTGGCAGAAAATTTTGCTTTTTTTTTGAAAACAAAAAGTGCACCATTAAAAAAGCTTTACATTGTAGTTTGTAGAGCTTTTCACGCTGCATCTCATGGTATACTTTGTTTTTTTAATAATACGTATTTTGACATTAAAATATGCAATGGAAAGTGCGGTCATTTATTATGGGTCACACGTTACTTATATTTGTTAAAACTCAAAAATCAAAACAAGCAAATTTAACAATTATCTTAGAAAAAAATTGGAAATGGTAGCGCGAGACATGAAAAGTAGTTAGTAGCGTATTCAGCAAAGGATGAAAGATTTCTGTAGGAAATGAATCTCTACAAATGTTTCTGGACAACAATTCTATCAAAGAGTTTCACTTATAACGAAGAACATAACCTTTAGATATTAACTTTATACACTTTATTACTTAATATTAGTATCTACTAATGCTCTTTTAATAGATTGACATACCACTGCATAACCTTGAATTTCTGGTATCCATTCTTCACCTTTATTGATCAAATTTGATGGTAGTGGAAACCATGGTTGAATTTCACGGAGACTTAAAATATCACCAAACCATGTAATTGGAAATGGACCTGCATCTTTCATTGGATTTGTTCTATACCAACAATTATTCTTTGAAAAATAAACAAGAATTATTTAAATAGACAATTGTCTCTATACTTTTGTTCGTTCTGGATAATCAGGATTACAGTTAAACATTGTATAACCCTCTGAAGCTGGCTACAAAAGACACCAAATGCAAACATATTTTTACATAACGAAAAACACTGATGTTTTTTTTACTAACTGTATTTGCTTCAGCACCTTTGGGTTTGTATTGAACCATATAGGTTTCATTTTGTTTCGATTGCCAACCTTTGATATCAAAACGAACTCTCAAATTTGTGTAATCATACAATAAGTATTGAAAGCCTAGAGATGGTAGTGGATATTGTTGTAATGCAGTTACATTCAATATAGCTTGAAATTGTTTTGGGAAACCAGTTTGACTTGAACATTGACTAATCAGTAGAGTCAATACCATCAAGTAGATTGTTTGTTTCATTTTCAATTTTCTTTTTTCGCTTTTTTTTTTACACACAGTTGTGTTACGAAATAAAAAAAATGCTTTATAACTATATACTATCGAGAAAATGAAAAGAAACGAAATTATTTTGCAAATACAAATGTATTTGTTCTCATCATCATCATGACAAATAACTTTCTATCATGAAAACTGTAACTTGATATATAACTTTAATATGACTTAAATTAAATATCTCTAATTCACATATTGACCTACCATCAGGTGCATTTTTTTTATATCATAGAGAAAAAACAAATATCTTCATTCGAATTGAAAGCATATAGTACGCTCGGCTTTGAAACATTTGAATAAAAGCTGTGCTTGAAAAAAAAAACACAAAGTGCCCATCATGATTCAAATGATGTTATCAGTTGACAATCCAATATTATTCTAGAAAATTCTATTCCTAAACGAAAAAGTCAAGATGAGGTTGTCGATGAACGTATTAATCAGTTGTTCTTAAGATTTTAGATGAATTTAATGAGTTCGAGATAGAAAAATTATTTTCTTTGATGTTAGCTTTGTATATATTATTTCCCGTTTCTGTAAAAATTTGGTATTTTTTTTTGTGTGTTTGTTCGAGTTCTCATGTTTATTGCTGTATATTGAAAGAAAATTCGTGTTTAAAAATCATATATACACAAATAGTTGTGCATGTTGCGCTAGGTATACTGTTTACGTATACTCCAACGAATTACCTAAGTACAGTTTCTTATAAGTCATCAAATAATCAATTCACATTTGATTTACATAGTATTAATCAGGAAAATTTAAAACACAAGATGAATTAATTAAGAGAAAGAATAATCTCTTTGTTGTTATTTATATATTTGGGGTGGGTGTGTGGATGTAGTTATAAATAAATGCGGAAATCTCGGATTTAAATCCGAGAGTTATGTGTACTTCAAAAAGTGAATCATACAAATCGGTCATCTTAGAATGTCTGGATATAAAAATTTGCCTGCAAACCTTTTTCTATAAACCGTTGAATTCCATTGGCTACTGCTCAAACAATAGGATTTGGGAGCGTATACACCTCACATTTCAACTCTTCGCGTTAACTTACTCTCAGAAAGTCGTTTTCCCTATAACTTGATTTCTATTGGTCAAGGCTCAACCAATGGGCCTTCGAGGCAAGTGGAATAGAGATTCAAGTTCTCCATACTAGAAAACCTTCGATTATCACCTCTATGATAGGAAGATAGAGTTCCTATTGGGAATCGATTGGAGCGTGCACAAAAACCGAACCGATTCTCGCTTATTTATCTTACCAATAGGTGAGTTAGTTTTCTTGTTTCTTAGTGTTTTATACATTGTTTTGTAGCTCTTGAAATTCTCTATCGAATGGTATATAATAGTTGGAGTTTTGATTGACTATGATAGGAAAAGCCTTTTACGAAAGTGGCGATGGGTCGATTTTTCCATAGGAAGCCATAGGGAAAAATCGGTATTTATGCAATAACTCAGGAACAGCGCGGCCGATCCTTCTCATCTTCTTCTCTCGACCGAGACATTCTAAAGGCTGAACTATGTAGAAAATTTCATCGCGATCTGACTTTCCTTTCGAAAGTTATCGTGTATACGGCCGACCAGACGGTCAGACACACTGGCCGATTCTAGAGTGTACTCACTTTTTGAGTACACAAAAAAAACAAGAAACACATCCACACACCCATTTTTAAAAGAATTAATAGAAAATATTCGTCAAGGTAGTGAATATTTATATCAAACACATTTATCTTTTTCTAAAAACGAAGAAGAAGGAAATAAAATTCGAATTTTTTTTTTAAAGAAAAAAATATTTTAAAATCAGGTGGACTTGATAAATATAAATATGGAGATATTCGGGAAAAGATTAAGGAAATCTTCGATGATAAATAAAAGGATTCTAAATTTGAAAATGATAAAGAATTAATTCAATCAAAAATCTTACATTTACAAGGAGATATTCATTCATATAAAGATGATTTAAAAGCAAATTTAAAAGAGTTTATTCAACTTCAAGATCAAGAAATAGTTTCTAGTGAATTAAAATTTTTCGAACGAATTCGTTTAAATAAATTTTTAATTATTGAAGAAAATAAATCTTAGTGAAATTGGAATGCATTTGCAGTTGCAATGATCGGATTTGCTCAAGTCATTGCAGGAGCAATTTTAATAGCATTGGGTCTTGTTAATATAGGCGGAGCTGTACTTAGTGAAGCCATTTATGATATGATTTATGCTATTATGGCAGATCTATCAGGTAAATTTAGTTGAAAAGATTGGACAATACAAAAATCGATTAGCCTTAGTGTTTCTATAATGACTGCTGGAATAGAAACATTAGCATCTGCAGGAAATACTGCTGCGAAATTAGGATCAGTATCTAGAACAGCAATGATGACGAAATTAGTTGAAAAAACAGCAGGTCAATATGCAACTACCTGTTTAACGAATATTATAACAGAGAATATTATGGAAGAAATTCAAGAAGGTGTCATATAAAAACTTATTAATATTATAGAAGAAAATTTCTTAAAAAATATAATGAAATCAATTGAGAATAAAATTAAAATTCTTTATACTAATTGTAAAAATGAACAAGAATTTGAAAAAACTTTTCAAAGAATGAAAGAAAACATTGAAGGAGTATTAGGAAGAAATCTTATATTAGCTCAACAATTTGATAATATTCGACTAGAAGTTATATCTTCTTTACAAAATAGTTAACAAGCACTTACTAATCGCTTGAAAAAAAATCTTATTCGAACTATGCTAAATTAGCTGCTACTGCTATTCAAGTAACATTTATCATTAATCAGCTATCGAATTTAGTTCAACCTGTTTTATATTTTCATCATATCTACAAAACTAGGGTGTGGGTGTGTGAAGGGATGCGCAACTTCTCTTATCAAACACCCACACCCGAATCATGTAGGGTCAAAAAGAGCTTAGAATCCAAACCTTGTAAAGTCAATTAGTATGAGTTTACACAAGTAAATATGGAGTGGGTGTGCGTGTGCGTGTCACTACTCTTGATAGACACTCACATCCCCACCCACACTATCCACAAAATAATATATTTCGATCAAATAACTTCGATTTACTGAGCGGAATCGAAACTTCTAAATCATTCTTTATCAACCAGTGAGACTCTTTGTCGACTTTTTTCAACTCATAACCACTATGATAATAAACTTTTACAATGTTCTCATAAATGACTATAGTGATTGTGAGGTTTCATTGTTTAGAAAGTTCTTTTGGAAAAGAAATATACTTTTAACAGTGTCATTCTAAGTTGGATCGAGATATATCGGGTCATCAAAAAGTGAACTGATTTCGAAAGTAACTATGATAAATAATATCTGATAGAAATTAGCTAAAATAGCTATATAACTAAAAGTCTATTATTATGATCCTTGCTGTTTCATCTTAACTTGATGTAGATTAACCGTCATCGCCAATTATTGCATTTGTTAATTCACACAAAATAAGATCTATGCTCTTGTTAGATGATTATAATTTCAAATTGAAACAAACAACTACGAAATATTGGAAATGTATATTTGATGGATGTTCAGGAAAAATTTCTGGAAACATTGAATGATCGATAAGTTAATATGAATGATGATCACGATCATCTTGTAGATAAAGAAAAAAAACTAAAGTACGTCAATTTTATTGAAAAATTTATTCTTTTCTTTCTTATGATTTATGTATGATCTCTGTTAGAATGTTAACATTATTCCATACATTAAAGAATGTGTCTTGGTACTCGAAATTTTCTAAGACACTTTTCAATTATTTATCATTTCGATAGATTTTTTTTTAATATTTTTTTTTCTTTGATCTTTCTAAGACTAACTATTGTTCCTCATACAATAGAATATTTTCCACAGATAGACAATACTTTGTCTTCATAAATGTATATGTATTGAACTTATTCTTATGATAATAGATAGTATTGAAAGATTTTATCATGAATATTAAAAATTTGTGAAATATAGCTCCAGAATTTCGCTATTCGACATTTGTGATAATTTATCATCCTTATGTGATTTATAGATTAGCTAAAATGTTCGAGTCAAACAAATGTTAATAAATCAATAGAGTCTTTAAATAAAAGCTGTATATTGTTGCATATCGATATACTCTCTAAACAATTCAATTTTAAAGAAGTAAGTATATTCGAGCAAATTAGAAACAAAATGACTAATGTTTGACATGCACAAACAATACAATCAATCTTAAAATATACTTTTCATCTGTGACAAAGACTATTTCGGATCGATTCCAATTTGCAAAATAAATTAGTTGGGTGTGGGTTTGAGTCTTGTCTTCATCGGCAATACTCACTCTCATACCCACCGACACTCTCAAGAATGCAAAAAGTTGAGTTTTTTCTTTAACCTCCATGCAGTCACAAGACATCAGCGACGTTCATGGCAATGACGACATCAGCAGATATTTTAAACAGTCGATGCAGCACGACATTGGAACGAGTGACCTTTTAACAAAACTTTCGCCGCAGCAACGGTGGGTTTTTCTCAAAGTCTATGCAAAACTTCATGAATTTGTATAGGTTTGTTGTATACACAAATGTAGCGCCCTTAGATTGAATGAATTTGATGAATTAGTAACAAGAGTGATAGTCTAGTACCTCAATGGTACTGATTTTCGATATATTTTTTGAAATTCCATCATGGTGGTGACACAATAACAGCAGATTTTTAGCCAAGTTGAACATCTCCGCAAGATATACAAGATAAAGAAACAAACATAAAATATGATGGAGAATGACTTGAATCAATTTCACAATATTCTACAAAATCGTAGTCTATTATATCATTACTATTTATTGGATACAATCAAAAGTTTTGAAGTTTAAGCTTTTTTTTTTAGCTGATATGACGAGTATGTGTGATCCCTGCTGATAAACAGATAATGATGGTAGATTATTAGTAGATATCCTACTAATTTTCGTTTTTATTTTCTATACGCTAAGTATCAAAGCAGATCTTGATAACTACGTGAACAGAAAAGAACTATTAGATGAATCATGCTTGTACAATATAAAACTATATACATCCATGCATATATCTAATCAATGACCTGATTGAATAGAACAATTCGATAATGTTCAAAAAAAAAAGATTTCTAATAGATTATATCGAAAATAATCCTAGTTGTATATTATTGAAAATTCTATGAATGTGTTAATTAAATTCTTTTATTTTAAGTTTGATAATCTCAAACAAATTATTTCATATTGTGTAGAATGAAACTTCGTTTCAGTTAATGCGGACATTATTTTTATTTTTGATTGTTATTCTATAGGAGAAATTCGTGAAGAATTAATGCTCAAAAGATCTATAGGAAAAAAAAAAGATTGTTTCATACAAAGACTTGACAAGATGTTTATTAATTATGAATAAACAATATAGATCTATGTATTTTAATTTACAATAATACAATTCTATTATTATACTCTATACAAACTGAGACACTTTGCAGTTCTGATAGCCAATGTAGGGTGTGGGTGTGGGTGTGTGTGGGTGTGTGGGTGTGGGTGTGGGTGTGTGGGTGTGGGTGTGGGTGGGTGTGGGTGTGGGTGGGGTGTGAGTGTGAATATGAGCGAATGGAATATCATATTCACAACCCACACCCACGCCCACACTCACACCCACCCACACCCCACACCCCACCCCCACACCCACCCAACACCCCACCCACACCCCACACCCACCCCTACACTCGAAAAAGAGAATTCTCGGACAGAGTGTTTTGGAATAGATAGGATGAGTATTGGATTATTGATGCAGTCGATATTGTTCATTCAGAGCAACCTAAATATAAATGACAAAATGTCTCTCGTGATTCTGCTATTTTTTTGATCTATATATAAGAAACAAAAATCGGAACAATGGACAAAAATAGAATTGCGATTGTATTTCGAAGTTGATCAAGTTATTTCATTAATTTCCGAAGAAGATTAGATGGAGCACGAAAATATAAAGATAGATTGATCTTGAGAAACGAACAAAATGTTCGAAGCCTTGAAAAATGTATAGAGCCAGAAACTAGAACTCAGCTTATTTAGTGCAACAATGATTGTCCTCGACAATGATGAGAATGATTTGACAGCGTTAAACACATATTATTAATGTTAGTTTGAACAAGTATGTATAAGTTTGGATATTAGAAAGTAATGAAACATAAACAAAATAGTTGAATGTATAATTAGTGACATTAAAAAAAAGGAATATTCATAAATAAATTTTTAATTGTTATTGTTAGTTTGATATTAAGAGTATTACTAATATTTGTTTTGAATTTTTACAATTTTCTAATGAATATATTCTATCTCTGTTATCTCAGTATCATTGCATACAGATAGTTATGAAGATCTAACATTGTGTAAATTAGAAAAAAAAACGTATAAAGAATGTAGAATATGAAAATAAAATCAAAGTTCACATAAGCAGCGGTAGTGGGCTACGATGAAAAACTAAATAATTGAAAGTTTAGTCTTGTCCAACTTTACATTGATAAAAAAAGAGTTGATGCTTTTGACTTACAGATCTATAATTATGAGCTTTTACTCGTATGAGCTTTTAGTTTCAAGTGTAAGAGATTTTACTTGTTTTTTTTAAAGCTATTATGATTTCCATTGCTAGAAGCAAACGAGAGTGGATCAAACTCGACGACACTGCAATGTATCAAAAATCGGTTCGAAAGAGCCTGTCCTTTTTGAGCCAGTATCCAACTTTCAAATCAACGAGAACAGATACTAGACTTTGATCTAAGCTTAAAAGACTGTAATGTGTTGGAACATATTCGTCAACTTGTTGAGAAACAAGAAGATTTTCAAACTATAATGATGGTAGACTTAATATAAATCAATCTACTTTTTTTGTTTAGGTATTCTTTTTGTTCATGAGAAATAATTTTTTATGATTCTCCTCAACATAAACAAGGAGTTGTACAGGAACGAGCTCGAGCACGCCATTTCACAAAAAAAAGATTCAAATGAGTACTCAGATTCATATGTTAACTTAAAACACATATTGTTAAAATAAGAATCATCTAACATACACAAAAACCCTTCATGATATCACAATCTAACATGCATGTCACTTTAGTAGAAGTATTCTCTAGATAAACATTTGATTTTAGTACAAGAGAACGATCATAAGCAGTAGAATAAAGCAGATCAATATTTTCGCTCTTTTGAAATAAATTTTACAATTAATACTGATAATATTTATCATCTTTTAGTATGCTGTGTTTCTCTTGTCTTTTTATCTTGCCTATCGTCAACCGACGAGTTTAGTGCGTTATCATGATTTTGAGTTGAAAGAAACAGATAGATAACGCAGTATTTACATTGAATAGATTTTTTTTACAGAAGTCATTGTTTATTTTTTTCTATTTTCAAAGTTAAAATTCCTATTGGTGAATGTCAGTTGTTGTTTGAGTATGTTGAAAATTATCTATCTGATAGA